TTGTCATGCATGGAGGTTCTTCCGAGAGATCTGCATCAAATGCCAGTAGGAAGGAGCTTAGAGCAACCTTCAACAAATCTCCATGGGAGGTGGAAAAATATGCGCAAGCCATTGTTAAGAACATAGTCGGTGGTCTAGGCTGGGGTATAGTTGGCTGAACCCTCGAACGGATCGTTTTGAAGGCAGGACGTTGGAGCCAGAATTCTACATCCCGAACACAAGACACAAGGATTCCGAAACAAAGTGCATTCCAGAAAGTCTTCAATGCGAGATTCTCATGTCATGTTCATGTGCTTCTGGAGCTCCCATGTAAAGCTCCTACAAAAGGGGTGGCCTTGTAAGTGCATTTTACCGTACGTATCTATCCCATGAGCCCGAACAATAAATGGCTTGCTCAAATTCATCTGGGCAACCTGCTCCCGTACAGAAACGAAGCACCTGCTGCGAGGCGCCGTTGATTTTCGTTGTGCTCATATGGGCACCCATAGGCCCTAAAGTAGTTCCTTGCTGGGGCTCATATATAGAATCCTATAAGGTTCACACCAAAAAGCAACTACTATGGGGCCTATGGGCAAAGTCAGCCACTCGTTTAGGATTTCAGGCTTGAGGCTGAGCGCCGTCCTAGAGCCCAAACTACGCAGCGAGGCGTAGGTCTGACCTGTACACATCACGGGAATGGTATTCTGAAGCGTGGGCGTCCTTCGCATCGTGGTGGTGCCGAGGTAGGATTTGAACAGTAACGCGGAATCAGTGCAATGATTACCAGGAATACTAGGTGGAGCCGCACGCCTCTGGTGGCTTTCACTACTGTGCTTCATTCGTTGAAACATGTAGGGGAGACCCCCTTCCTCCCCACTCCCCCATATGTGCAGAAGGACAAAGAACAAACGACAAGCATTGCAGACGGGCACACAAACCACTTAGCACCGTTATGATCACTTGCAGAAACCATTCTGAAAACCCTACCTAAAGCCCCAAAATTGACGAAATAGAAGCCCAAAACCTTCCCAAAGGGTATTATTATACATACTTTTGGGGTCCAGGTATGCCTTACACCCCTAAACAGCTCGGGGCGAGCGCCTCGCAGCGGTGGCGTCGGATGCGGCCGAAGAGAGCCACGGCCAGGAGCTGACATGCAGGGCTTCTCGAATTAGTGTAGGGGCCGTAATAATTAGAATATAGGCGGGGTATATTATACTCTGATTAGAATAAAGAAACTAGTAAAACTAGGAAAACATATTCATATAGGGGCATCAATAAATAGATCAGGATTTTGGAGTGATGGCGGACAGAAGTCGGATATAGGGTTTTGGGGTATGAGATACTATAATTGTTCAGGAACCCTCAAAATATAGGTAATTATTTTGGCCCCTATATTAGTCGAAAACTAGCAAAACTGGGAAACCACATTAAGTTTGCATTGTACTGTTTATCATTTAACTACAATACTGTAGGAAGAAGAGGATCGCGATCGTGGTCCTGACAGTGATGTTGGGTTGGGGTGTTGCAGACGGTGGTACGTCTGGTGGTGATGATGAGGGTGAGGATCCAAGCACTTGCGAAGCGAGTCAGACTCCGAGCTGACCGTTCAAGTAGACCCGAGTTTCCAATTATGGCTGTGTCGAAAATCCCCGTAGGCCCGGAACTTCAAAGAAGCTCATGCTCAGCAGCCAACTGTCGCCCTTAAACCCGAAGCGAGACCAACAAAATGCTCAACCGTCTTTTTTCGAGTCTTCTTGCACGGAGAGTTGGCTGTATCATGGAGCATTGAGGACTACCAAACTCACTAGCATGTTGAAAGTTGTGTAATCCTCACTCAAACATGAAACAGCTATATCACATCCCAAAAACAACAAACTCAACGTCGGGAAATAGAAACCTGCATGAACCCTAAAGCCCCAAGAGCTCTGTACTGCAAGCCTATAAACGAAACCCTAAACCCTCACAACCCTAAACATCCCAAAACCTGTCCATCGGCCCTAAAGTAGTTCCTTTGTGGGGTTACCTTATAGGATTCTAAACATGAACCCTCAAAAGGAACTACTTTAGGGCCTATGGGTATGTTTCAAATATCCCTAAACCCTAAACATCCCTAAACCCTATCTTTCAAACATCCCTAAACCCTATCTTTCAAACATCCCTAAACCCTATCTTTCAAACATCCCAGCGCCTCGCCATCGGCCCGAAGGCCGTAGAGCGACGACCGGCGGCCGCCCGGAAGGCGAGCCGAAGAGCTCCTGGCTGGGCAAAGGGGCAGGGGACTTTTCACCATGATTAAGTTTCAACAAATAAGCAATACGGGCAGAGAGATATAATGTATGTGTGTATGTATATATATATATATCTATATATATATATATGTATATATATATATACATATATATACATATATATATATATATATTCACTTTGTACATATATATATATACTATATGTTACTATATCGTATTCAAATGATTTACGCATACGTGTTCAGTAAACCCAGATTCCGAATTGCACCGTTTTCTTTGTACCGAGAAGTTAAGGCGAACGCGGCAGAGGCTTTCACGAGAAAAAACCGACACCGAACTTTTAACGCGGCATCCCAAAAGCCCTCAGAGTGCCAGCAAGTTGCAGCAAGTGGTGGGCAGCAATGAACCTCGCATGGGACTTTCGGAGCTTCGGATTGCCGCGAGAAGATCGGGGCCTTCATGATTAGAATAGGGTTTTGAAGCCCCTTAGACTACAATTATACTAAGGACCCCCCCCCAAAAAAAAAGTGTATGGGTCGTTATGTAGGCCCCTATATTAACTGAACCCAGGGTCCCCAGCTGACAGCCCGAAGGTTCCTGCTCCCAACTCGGGCCGTAAGGTGACTTGGGATTCGGATCAGGATTTGGGGCTGCCAGCCTCGACTTTGGGGTGTCAAGCTTTGTTAGATTTCAGGCAGTTTCTGAAGCAAACAAAGCCTCGTCTGCCAGTGTAATGACTAATGCGGACTTCTATAAGACCCCAAAATACCTTCAACCTCAACCATGCAATGAAACTGCTCCTGAGAAGAAGCAGACAAAAAAGTGGGCAGGCGGCCTGCGCCCCTCTTCCCGTTCCACGCCAGCCAGCCGAGCGGCGCGCGTGTTGCGCGCGTAGACCCGGCGGTCGTCTGGGAGGTTTAAGTCTGAAAGTTTCGGGAGCCGCACGGTCTGGTGTTCTCCCTAACCCCCCAGGTACCTACTATATAGGGCCCTAGGGGCTCATGTACCCTATATAGTAGGTACCTGAGGAGATAGGGTCTGGGCTTGTTTGAAGCTCCTTGTCACAATCTCTTCGCAACTTGGAGGACGCCTGTTCATGCACGCTCCCCCTGATCCCAACTGCGTCGTGAATCTGAAGCCCTTTCTTGCATCAGAACTTGTGCTAGCGCCTGAACATTGACCTCCAGAATGCAAATGATTCGTGCAACCTCTGCATGCAGTCGAAGGCAAGCCGCAAAATCCAAAAATGGCATTCATCATCGACCGGACGAGGCTATTTTTGCCTCGCTTCCGCGAGTGTTTGTTGGTGTTGATTTATTCGGGCTTGGGGGCTTTGGGATCTTGTGGCATGAAGGGCTGATTCAGGACACGACACCAGGGAGAGTATGCAGTTGCCTTGATGCTCCTTCAGGGCTGCTGATCCTGAATAATTAGCATACCGCACAAGGTCTTCGGATCTACTTGGCCCCGACGTTAGCCTGACCCCACATCCCTTGCAGTTCTGAGCCTCTGGGCTTAGGAACGGCTCCGAGCAAAGCGACCAGTTGCTTGATTAGGTGTCGGGAACCGTGTGGAAGCTTCAGGAAATATAATATGTGATATCCTTCACGGCAGGACTCTTATGGCTTGGCAACAACTCCAAAGGAAACCCTTTAGAACTGACGAACAAAAAGATTTGTCGAATTGCTTTCAGTCTTACGGTACCTGGTTTACCTACTCCCTGGCAGCCCTTCTGGTCATGCTGTCAGTAGTTCGGAACTTCAACCTTTCAGCGGCAATGAACCCGGCCCCAAACCCAAAGTTACGCCCTCAATGCCCAAATCCTTGGAATCGGCAACCGTCTGTGCGCTCGGCCCATCCAGAAGTGAGGCCACACGTGAACCAACCGTTCGGAAGAGGCCTTGCCATGGTCGGTTCAAGGTTTAGCATTTCTTCGTTCATTCTACCTGTTCTACCTGTTTCTACCTCATCTAATACTGTCATAATACACAGTATTCTCTTGTGTGTTTGTTTTTCCTCATGAAAACACTAACACTGTCATGATAGTACTGTCTAGGGTGTCTGTCTTTCCGCCGTCTTTCCTTCGGGGCGGAGCCTGCACCTGTCCACCGCTTCTGCCGGAAGACGTCTCGGTCCCATACTCCGATGTAAACCAACCCTAACCCGCCAGGTACCTACTATATAGGGTAGGTACCTACTATATATATATATATATATATATAGGGTACAAGAGCCCCTAGGGCCCTGTATAGTAGGTACCTGGGGGGTTAGGGCAAGGTAGACCAGCTGTTCAATGCATGTCGTGAGGCCTGATTAAGTGTTCACGGCACGTCTTCGGGACCGGAACATGCTCACATTGCTTATAACTCTGCACGAAATTTGATACGGCCGTTGGTGCCAAGAAATGTCGCGGCTGACTCCTCCTCTGAACCGAAGCATCAAGCCCAACTCCAACCCCCCAAGCCCAATCAACATGATCGTCATGGCCAAAACCTGAAATGCCACCAAAACCCTCAAAACACCAAACTCCCAAACCCTAAACCATAACAGCTCTAGGCCCTAAACCCCCAAAATGCCTAAACCCCACCTCACCTAGTTCAGGCGTAAACCCGGCTTCACCTCCCACTGCTCTGTCATCTCGTACGCCTCCGGCGGCTCCTTGGGGTCCACTCGGTGTCGTGGGAGTCGAGTCTTTGAGAGCTTGCTGAGGTTTTATACTTTAGGGATTTCCAGGGTCTAGGATTTCGGGCGCAATTATAGTCGAAATCTGGTGTCCCCAACCAATAGGCCAAAACACACAAGCCCTTGACTTGGGCAGACGTGCAGAAACCAGAGACGAGCACATGGCAACGCCAGCACAATGCTCTAGTCCCAGCTGTTTCAAATCAAAAAGAACCGCCCGCTCCCAGCACAAGTGACGCAATAGGTGCAGATATGTACAGATGCATGCATACTGCACATTGACCTCACTGAGGCCGATGCGCATAACCCTACTCCGCACTACCATCAACTTATCCTTACGGTAACCCTAAACCCTAAACCCTAAACCGACCCCTCTCATGTGTCCCCTTGAAGGGAAGCCGTGGCGCTATGCTCTCAGCCCAGTGAAGTCCGACGCGCCGTCCTTCGGGGTTGTGGAGGGTTCGTAGTCGAGCCATGCAAGTTAATTAGGGTTTGGGGTTAAGTAGGTTATGGTCATGTAGGTTATTTAATTAGGGTTTAGGGTTAAGTAGGTTATGGTCATGTAGGTTATCTAATTAGGGTTTAGGGTTAAGTAGGTTAGGCTAGGGTCATGTAGGTTCGTGGCCGATAGTATGGAGAAGCCTCCAACCCGACATAAGAAACTTAAGAAACATCGTCGACGCCCCTAGCGATGTCGCGAAGATCGGGTCGCGATGAAGCCCCCGGTATCCTCCAGAACTAGAAACCCTAAACCCTAAACCCTAAAACCCTAAACCCTAAACCTTCAGGAGTCAGGAGCCCGGATCTCGGTCTTGCAGACATCCTCGCTTGATGGAAGCCAGCCAGGGGCTCTATCACCTAATATGAGCATAGGGCTTCGTGTCACATCAGGCGACAGTTAAATCTTGTCTTAAGCTTGCAGCAATCTGTGGCTCATGCCAATCACGAGGAACAGCATACTCACACGATCGTGAATTACACTTTACCCATCACCTCCGCCCTTACCACGACCTCCGTACTCCACTAGCCCAACGGAAAATGGCAGCATCGGCAGCTTGAGTCTTCGCCAACAATGTTCACGCAGCTGAAAACGGGCAGCATGGCAACTATCCAAATAACAGCAATAATGCACAGCGGCCTTATAATTAGAATAGGGTTCTGGGCTCCATTAGAATAACTATAATAAGAACCTGAAAGAATAATGTTGGTAATTCTCTAGTCTTCTATATTATCATCATTTTTCCGACCTTCGTCTAAGGCCTCCAAACTCACAAACCTTCACTCAGCACGGTCCGTTGGCTGCCACGAGCCGAACTCGACGGCCTAGGCAAAGCACCTGGACGCCCCCCTCAAAACAACAACACAGTCGGGTTTAGGGCTTACATGCTTTCAACCCTGCAACCTGAGCCTCACAGCCTCAAAGCACCACACACATTCAATGAAGCTTTGTGCTGTTGGAGTTGCAACACTGATCAATAGTATCTGAAACCCAAGCATTAAGCGAACACAGGGTTATCATGTTCTAGGTTGGCCCTCGGAAGCCTAAGATTCGCAACGAAGATCCAGTGAGGCCCACTTCAGGAAACTACTGTATGGATAAAAGGCCCAAGGAACGACCTACCTAGTCTCATGGGGTTTTCGCGTTTGGGGCATTGTTGGGGCTCAGGCCTTCGGAGGTGCTGGGGGTGGATTTTCCAAGGGAGCTCGGGCCCAAATGGATCCCAAGGATTACAGTATAGGGTTCTTGTTCGGCTATATACTGGCTCATTTTGAGAGTTTCAGATACTGTATCAGACAAGAGAAGGAACCCCTAAAATTGATCGGGTTCAGGGTCCTAACGTGAACCTGAACTACTCGTGACAAATGACCCGGTACTTTCGGTTTTCTGAACCGTCCGTTCTGTTTTGCAGATTCGGAGATTCCCTTCACCCTAAACCCTTTTTTTACATCTGGACTTGATGAATGCCAGCACCCCACTGAGCGCAGGACCAAGGACTCTGCCGAGGCTCCAGCACAACGGGAAAGGAACACCCTAAACCCTAAACCCTAAGGGCTGTTGTCTTAGGGCTTCGGACAGCAAGGTCTTTTGCATTGCTTTCTGCAGCCTGAAACTCTGATGCCCAGGTCGGCGTGGGCTCACGACTTTCTAAGGGGTCTTTCGGGTGCTGGGGCTGAACTGCTAAAGGTTTAGGGTTTGGGGGTTTACCAAAACCCTCCGGGGGCGTGAACACCCGAGGCCAGGACCTCTTCACTGCTCTCCGCAAAGCTGTCGAGCAACTGGGAAAACTCTTCGGCAGCTGCTCCTAACGACCGGCGGGTTCAGGCATCCCCTAACCCCCCAGGTACCTACTGCATAGGGCACTAGAGCCCCTAGGGCCCTATATAGTAGGTACCTGGGAGGTTAGGGATTTACAGCTTTCAGGTTTCGGGCTTGATGGGGGAACTGAAGCTTAATTCAAGCCAGTACGTAGCCCTCGCAACCTTAAAATCCCCCCCTCAAAAATCCCGCGGATGCCTCGTCTGGGGCCCCGAAGCCGCGCGGCGTTGGGCCTCGCCGGCCCGGGAAGGCTCCGAGTGACGCTGACCTTCAGACGCGTTTCTAAGGATGCCTACATACAAGTACTATAGGGTCAACGATCAAAGTATACATACTATCCTCAGGGCGGGGGGCTGAGGCATCAGGAGCTCAGGGTTGTGGAGAGTTGGCGTTACGGCTTCTCCGGGCTTTTTCGGGCCCACAGAGCGAGCCGCTCCTGATTCAGGGTTTCAGCATTTAGGATTACATAGTTCCGGGTCTTCAGGCCCCTGTTTAGGTCCCAGGGTCAAGGCTGCGCAACAGCGGTGCAAGCTCCCAAATGCCCGGTGGGCCGCGAAGCCTCAGAAGACCAAAGCCGTCATCAACCCTGCCTCCTGACAGTTACCTCGGTACTGGTGATCTGGCTGCGAAAGCTGCAACATGCAACCCAGAAGCAAGATTCCAGGCTGTGGATGTTGCGTTGGCTATGGGGCTCAGTTGACACTATTATGTAAGGCCTGTGGCTGCATGGTAGGCTTTTACCCTACTCAGTCCCTCTGTGTACACGTGCAACCCGACCGCAACTCCCCGACACTCTAGGACTCTAGGCGCGAGGCGTAAGAGTACTATCAATTGATGCCGTGACGTACTTGTGTTTTCAGCACTGGCCTGCAACATCCTAAAACCATACTCCACCAATCGATGCCACTAATCACTGAGGCGTCGGCCGCGCCAAGCACGAAAAGAGCCGGCATTCAGTCAAGGCATCATGCGGTCGCCAATTTCGCCATGCGTCATCACAGGTTTGGTGGCGAACATCGATATCTGCTGCACAGGGCTGCGTGGGGTAGAAGACTCCAGCTGATTTCCTGCAAAAGATGTGGAAGCGTTCCAGCTCCTATGTCAAAGCCTATAGAACCTGACGCGAGTCCGATATGGACCGCTTCTGTACCCTAATCACTAAGCCTTGTTCTGCACCAGGACTTGTGCAATCGCCTGAGAGTCTGAGCATGCGGAGAAAACTCCTAAAACCTGTCAATAAAACCTACGGCCCAAAACTCTGGGAAGCCTTTTCCAGTCAGAGCCGGTTCAGAGAGCAAACGAAGTTCGGCAGGTCAATTCCCAGATATTCCCGCATCTGGCGCTTGGGGCTTTGGGCTTCCTGCTATTGGGGTTTAATGCTGATGCAGGGCTTTATTTAAGGCTTGGGTTCTATATATGTAGGCTTTCCTTAAGTTTAATGCAGATTTACGCCTGCAGAGGTGGGGAGGTCTTTTATAGTCGGTGGTGTGTTTTGGACGTTTTTACGAGACGGCAATGCAACAAACCCTGAGTTGCCGGTCTTACCTTGAAAGTGCTTTGGGCCAAGACCACACCTTGAGCTTGCGAATAACTGACCATGGGTTCAAGATGCGTTTTACATGAAACTGCCTGAAAAATGCATTTGGTTTGCAACGATGTCGAAGGTCACTAGCCCCTAGCCGGGAAACTTCTGCTGCTGACTCACGCAACCCAGATCCGATAACTGTAAACACCCTTATAGTCCCTTGAAACTATACCCATAGGCCCTAAAGTAGTTCCTTCTGGCGGTTACCTTATAGGATTCTAAGTATGAACCCTAAAAGGAAGTACTTCAGGGCCTATGGGTCGAACTTGGGGCCGAGGGATGAGGCTCTATAAGGACTCCTTTTTTGATACAGAAAAGGCCCCACTGTCCTATGACGGAGAGTGCTTGGAGCCTAGGACTCAACCCTAGACAGACCCAAAACCCAAAAGCCTCCAACTTCTTTAACAAGTACATTCGCCAGGAGATCTCTCCCACACCCTAAACCCTAAACCCTAAACCCTGAACCCTAAATCCTAAACCCTAAACCCTAAATCCTAAACCCTAAACACTTTTTGTTTGCAACAGGCTTTACACTTCGCCCAGTTGGAGCAAGCAGCCCTAGCAGCTTTAGCAAACACTAAACCCTGAACCCCAAACCCTAAGATTTCTTTCCCGCACCCCGAGGCCGAAGCTCTTTTTTCCCCTGTCATCGGAGCGGAAGCGACTCCGGGGAGGGGGGAGGCGAGGGCACCTGGCTCGGCAGCTGTAATGTAAGGGCCTTAATAGTTAGAATAGGGTTTTGGTGCTTTGGGGGGGGTCCTTATTATAGTTATAGTATAATTCCCCCAAACCCTATTCTAATTATTAAGTCCCCTATAGTAGCACGGGCGCGGGAGGCAGAGTTGGATCTGCGATAACTTTACCCCTCATAAGGGCTTTCGGGTTTAGGGTGTGATTCCTAAAGCCTTTGATACTGTCCTCCTCTATGCTAGGGCTAGGGAGTCTCATAGAGCCTTATAGCAGGGAAGTTCATAGAAAGTAACCTTGAGCCGCTCCAGGCCTTTGTCCCAAGAAGATTCTGCTCAGATAACGCAGAGATACGTGTCCAACGGAACAAAATGCATTGTGAACAACAAACAGCGACACCCGAATCTCCAAAACCCAATCTGCAACGCCCAGAAGCCCGAAACCGCAGTGATGAAACTTCTGATTCCGCTACGTTCCATCCAGCCCTGGGCCCGGGCCCAAAACAGTAGGTACCCTGGACTCTCACTTATAGTTACCGCTGTACCGATCCTACCACATCAACCCAAGCCCAAACATCCTTCTGCCGGAGGCCTCAATGTCGGCTTCGACCTTTTGGCGCTTCCTCGGCTACCAGTTTTCAGGTCTTTGGAGTCAGAAGGCTTACGCTCCATTCATGAACTTCCCACACCTGGGCCACTAGGTAAGCCCACAACAAGGCCTTTGCCAGCCCTAGATGCTGGTGACCCTAAAATGCTGTACCCGCAACTCTGAAGCCTAGGCCAAACCATTTACCCCAAACCTCATGCGAAGTTTTGTCCCAGTGGCGACGTGAGGACGGGCGCGAAGGCCTGTGCTGTGTTGAAGGTTTATCGGGTTTAGGATACAAACAGATGTTTTTTATAAACTCGACAGAACCCAGATGTGACACAGCTCATGTATGTGAAGATGCAAGTCTGAGAAAAAGCCCGTGTCTGTATGCACAGGGCTGTGTTTCAACAATTCGACAAGGATGTGGGGAAGATCATACGATGGTACCATGCAGGGAGCTGCTCGCGCTGATGAGGCCAAAGTTGGTATATACTAACCCATATTACTTCCGTCCCAAATCGAACTATATTCGTACTGGGTACTTTGGATCGTTCCAGAAAAAGTCCGAAACCCATCGGCATCGTTAAATGTTCAAACCAAATAAGGACAGCAATCATGCTGAACTACGTACTTATCGAGATGGCATCTAAAAGTCTCTCGATGTGTCTCCCATCTCTCTTCCGTATATGTACACATACATATTAATATGTATATATATATATATATTAATATATATATATATATATTAATATATATTAATATATATATA